AACAGGCATTGCACTTGTTCTGCGATTAATTCGAATCGCCTTTGTACGTATCGACTTGCATTGGTTTCGCCTTACACTTTCAGTCGAATGTCAACACAACTGGAGGAACACACCGGTTGCAGGTTGCTCCTCGATTCCTCGAACACTAAATATTTACTGATAGCTTCACTTTGTAATCCAATTACTCAGTGCCAAGTGTTGGGGTTTGCTAGTTTTTCGGGGGCAAAGGTTGGTGTTTAATAAAGGAGGGTGGTTAATGCCCGTTAATGGTTTTGAAAATCACTTTTTGGCAAAAACAAAAATAAGAAAAAGACAATTCGGAGGGGTCTTGGGCTTATTTATGGGTCCAGACCCAATTAAAGGGGATGTGGCACATGTGCCAGGCGGCCAGGCTGAAAATAAAGTGCCCCCGTCGAACTGTCGCCTTGATATACGCTCTGGGGTCTTTATTAATATTTATTTGACTGTACGAAAATAAAATAGAGAACATAAATAACAGTTTGTTTATAAACACACAAGCAGTTTGCCAACTAAAAATAAATGACGCGGACAACACACAAATGAAAGGGAATTTCTTTCAATTCGATTCTTTTGTTTTTATTCTGTCTTCCAGCAGTTGCCTTTAATTTCCTGATTTCCTTGGCGGAACAATTTGTGTAAAATAGGAAGGAAATTTCCTGACAGAATTTCCGAACTTCCTTTTTGCGGTGTGTCGGTATATCCTTGCCAACAGGTAGAAATCCCAAGCAACATTTTTCGTCCTAATATGAATTAATTGCAGGCAACCGCAAAGGAGCCGCAGCAGAAAGTTGTATCCCCCCCTCCCGTCACTAATTCTAAAAATACAAATACCCCAAAACTGTGGCCAAGTTACACATTGAAAAAATCTTGTAATATTAATTAGTCACAAAAATATTACAAAACCCTTTAAATGAATAACGAGCTACCCGATCAAGCGAATGTATGACATATTTCTCGGTTGTTTTGTTGGCTTATCAGAAAATTTTACACATTCCACAAACATGTTATCAGGAATGACTAAAAAGTGAATAATCTCCTTTTTTTGTATTCCACATTTTTTTCACGTGTACGAATGTGTGGAGGCTCGTGTCGATTTTGGTTTTTAGACGTTTGCCTGCTCGTTGCATGTTTTCAATGTCAATCCGCGTGTAACCGCAGCATCGGAGGCAAAAGCGGGGATTTTCTAATTGAGAATGTGTGTGCGTGAGTTGCAGCATGTTGCCAGTCCCTGGCTGCCCCATCTGCCCCTCATCTGCCCCGACTGTCATTTTCCATCCTAGAGGAAAATTCCCACTCGAATTGGAATGTAAACAAAATGCTATATAAAAATAGACACAATCCATGAACATTTTCCCCTTTCATTTCGTTTGGTTTGGCTCTGGAGCAATTCACGTGTGAAATGAACAAAGTGTTGATTTGTTTCTAGGCTATGCGAGAGCATTGTGGGTGAACCAAATAGCTGGGTCGAGAATGGGAAATACATAGTTCCACTATACCGAGCAGGAAATAATACAATGTGAGAAGAGCTTGTCCCCTTTGGTGATGCGTAGGAGCAGGCAAATCAAGTTTCTGGAATGAAATTCATTTCATTTCAGCTGCTCCACCTGGAGAAATTCTACCTGGGAGATTCTTCCTAAAAATTAAAGATAAGAAATATTTTTAGATTTATTTAAAACTTTAAATGATAGACATATGTATTTACAATTAACCATCTAAGAAAACCCACTCATATAGATTGGCTCCCATTTTTTTTTCGGTGCCTGTGTTACTGTTGCCATGTCATGTTGCCGGTCCACAAGCCGTACAAATGGTAGATGAAAAGCAGCTACAAAATCTCACAAATGCAGGCAAAGACCCGTTGGACTGCTGATGACGTTTCGGCCCTCTATTGTTGTTGTTGCTGATGGTGGGGATGTTGCTGCTGCCGGGTCTGTGGTTGCTGCTGTTGCCGTGTCTGGTGTTGCTGCTATTGCTGTGGCTGTCGTCTCAGTGACTCCCATTCTGAAAACCCAGTCGCAAGTCTGGATGCCCGTTAAGGTCGTCGCGATGTGCTGTGTTCCAGTGTCTGTCTGTTGCTGATGTCTGCAACACTAGCAGCAACAGCAACAGCAGCCCCAGCAGTAGCAAGGGATCCCGCGCTTTCTTAGCGTTTAAAATTCCGTTTCGAAAATGGAAAACAAAACAAAAACAAAACGCTCCACTCCGGGCTTCGACTTCAAACTCCAACTCGCAGCCAAATCAACTTGAGCAGTGAAGTGGCCACGCAGCCGGCAGAGGAGCAACCTCAGAACACTCGGAAAAAATCATCCAAACAATCAAGTTTATTTTTAAAGCAATACCCAGAAAAGAACGACATAAAAGATATTTTGATGAAGTTGAATCCTATGAGATGGCATTGTCACAACTAATAGGAATCTCATTAAAAATTAACACAGACTCTTATTAAGCAACCACTTTTCAGAATATCATTTTACAATTTATTACTCTGCGACATGTTGTAAATTATGTAAATATTATTTCGAGACATTTGAGACTTCATTATGTGGTGTTTTTTTCCGTGCAACATCAGCAGCAGCAACATGAGGCATGAAGCTGTGGATACCATAGAGCGAAAAGAGGAAGAAAAAAAAATTAAAATTAAAACCCACGTAGGCAGAAGGAAGAAACAAAGTCGAACGGACCGGGGGAAGTTGGCGTTGTCTGCCCTCGTGGCGCGTTAAGTTGTTGATTGAAGGGTATTTGAGTAAAGTATCTTTACGTGTAGCTGTAGCTATGGATGTGGATATGGATGTGGATGTGGATGTGCCGGCGGTGTAATCATAAATGCAGTCCCCCCTCGACCGACTAGATTGCCCAATTGGAGTAGCTGGGTGCAATGATGCAGTTGTGGCTGGAAGCTATGATTCTGGGAGGCAAGTCTGGCTTATATGTGGGCTTATTTGTTTTTTCGGTGTGGGCCGTGGTGATTTTATGAGAGTTGTGTGTCTGGGGAAAACTTAATGAGCAGCTGTATGCGAGCACGCTCCTTTATTAGATTTCACTTGAGCGATAACCACTGGCTGGGCTCGGAACTGGGTTAAGAGTTAATTAGACCAAAAACCTATACCTATGCCAGACGCAAAACTCAAAGTTCAATATGAAAATCGTATTGGATTTCAAGCGTAATGTGAACCTGGCTGCTATTCGGTCATTTAGTGTTTTTGGCGAACCCCTTTATGTTTCTGTTTCTGTTTGAGTTTCCTGGCCAATGGCCAAAACACTAGACTGGACCCAAAAACTGTACCCCAGACATAACTTTGCCTTTTTTTTCGAGCTCCTTTCTATATAATACAAACTTGTAAAAACGTCAAGCGATAAAAATGTTCGATAATCAAAATGAAAACGACCGCCAAGGGGATCGAGGAGGGGATTGGAATGGAATGGAATGGTTGTCTAACAATAAAACAGGAAGAGTTCAGAGCGCAGGACAAGTGTGTGAAAGGTTCGGGATGAAAATGCCTTCGAATACAGCTGGAAAATCAATAAGCCATGCTTATTGTCAAAGACCAGGGACCAGGGCCAACAAAGCGAACAGAAATGATATGGCAGACACACAGATACATGGGGCGAAGTCAAGAACATAAAAATGCCATTGACTGTGGCCCATCGTCTGTGATTGTAATAGGGATATAGTAGGAATCTAGGGATAGGGGGGAGCCTACACAACGAGAAAAATGTGCTGTAAATTAAGGATTAGGAACTCCGCCGTATTCGAGAAAACAAAAGCCCCCGGATTGTGAATGAGTCTGGGAGAGCTTTAGATAACATATTTTATGAAGTTTGTAATTAAAAATGTTTATGGGCGACTGTGTGGCAGGTGAGATAAAACTAAAGGGGGTATTCATTTGGACACCTTTAAGCACCAAAGTGCATACTTTGTTTAGAATTTAATATTTTCCTTTTGTGTAGTAGGGTTGTCAAAAGCAAGCCAGATAGCTCCATCTCCGGCGACAGTCCCCCCAACATATTTCTCCCTGGGCCGGACGGAATAATGAAAGTTGCTTTTACCCGGGCCAACAGAACTGCATTGCAAAGTTCTAATTTGGCCAGAAAAAGAGAGGGAAACCGCTGCCGCATGCAGCAAGCAGCAGCAGGGGCAGCAGCAACAAAAACAAAACTGTACCAAAAACAACAAACTGGGTAAAAAAAAAAAAAAAGAGGAAAAGAAGTCAAAAGCGCACACGGTCGGTCAACGAATTCGGGTTCGGCTTTGGTGGTTCTTTTTCAGTTAACACGAAAACGTTGTGAAAGAGCCCGGCTCAAACAACAACAAGAAACAGGTAGTAAAAATCGACAACAGACCAGGTTTACATGCAGCCCGAGGAGGGCGGAGGGAAGGGGGGAGCAGGTAGAGGGACATGCATAGCGCTTAGAAATTAAAGAAAAACACTGGCTAAGGCTGAGTTGTGGCTGAAACCCAAGTCCGTGGCTCAAAACCGAGCCCCTGTTGACTATCATAATAATAAAATTCGAGTTGGAAACAACAAAATGCATGAGACTACGACTGTATGAGTGTGTGAGTTCGAGTATGAGTGAGTGTGAGAGTAGTTTTGAGAGTATGAGTGTTTCAAATCGGGGTTAGTGACCCAAAACTGTGTTTTGATAGTGAAAAAAGTGTTGAGCTTGGCTAAAACGATCCGAAACTTATATGAAAATGTACACAAGAACCGAAACTGTAGAAGAAAGATACATAGCTCCAGAGTAGTGAGCTGGGGGCTGGGAAAATGAATTTTGCATAGTTATAAAAAAAATAAAGAATTTATTAATTCTTAAGCTTGATGACGCGGCGAAATTGGTTGGGAAAGGGCAGATTCTGAAAATGGAGCAAAGTGCCTAGCAAGAAATTGGGGTTAACCCACAGCTATTAAAAGTACTATGATTAATGTTTATATTTGCATTTTTTTTTGTATATTTACAGGCCCACAAAAAAAGAAGCCAGAAAAACCAACAAACAACCGGAAAGCCAACAAAAAATCAATCTAAATCAATAAATGTGCTGAAATTAAATAAATATTAAGTAAATAACAAACGAAATTAAAGAGAAATAGTTGAAAATTGAATAACCAACGTGTGCAAAGTGCAGATCAATACATATTCGGTGTATTAATCCAAAAAAAGTATATATATATTTAAGCGCGAGTGTTACAATGCTGCCCGTTGCAGCATCGGTCATTGTAGCATCGGGGATGCATAAATCTTAAATTTTAAATCAAAATCAAGCCAATCAAAAAGAAAATATATATATATATAAATATATATTCTCACAAGAGTTGTAAATCAAATCAAAATTCCATCAAAATAAACCTCAAATTGTTGACCCATCAACAGTTTGAGTAATTATATATTCTTCTGCCCCATCAAACATTAATCAACGGCCTCATGACGGAGTCCTTAGGGTTTTGGCATATTGAGGAAGAGGATTTCGATATGGATATCCTACCAAGCGGTAATATCTTCAACGAATTGGAGCGTATCTGCACCACGGGCTACTTTTCGTCGCAGCCTTCGATCGAGGATCAATGGCAACAGGTTAGTCTAATCTCCAGATCTTGTAAGAAATCTAAAAATAAGCTTGAGACAGACCCCTATTAAAAATTCTCCCCATTATATTTTCAAAGCAATATTCATAAATCATAGTTTCCCCAACCACTTTTCTCCATCGAATCATATTATATTCCTCCAGCTGACGTCAGCCCCTAGTTCGAGTTGTTATTTATTTAGCATTTAGGCATTTATCATGGCCTGAACTACTTAAGAGGGTCGAGTTGCTGGTATTTTATCGAGGAATTAACTGACTTAGCCCGAAACTTCCTTTGACGCCGGGGCTATTGCGCAATCGACGATCAGGAGTGGATTCCTTGGCGTATTTTAAGCGAAACCAAATGCATACTTTTGTTATAAATATGTGCTTTTTGTGTTTTGTTTGGTTCGCCGGTCAATAAAAAATAAACGAAGAGAAACAGTTTCAAGGTCTACACATCATTTTTTTTTACCTGAACGAGCGTGAGTTAAAATTAAATTGCTAAAAATTATAAACTCTTGATAAGCGAATTTGTGTGCGCGGTCTAAACCTACACAAAGGCATATAGCGAATCTTCCCACATATACCCATCAAGCTATATATTTAAATAAATATACTGTATGTATATGTTGTGGTGTATAAAGTTATATGTTTGCAAAAAGCCAAATAAATAGATGCCATCCCATAAATAAGTGAAATTCGCCAGCAGTCAGTAGTCAGCAACCAGCGTCGGTTATCATCTGAGGGCATGCATAATATATATACTAAATACATACTTATTTTTTGCGACTTTTTTTTTCGCAAGTGTTTGTTTGTTTGTTCGCTCGTCTGTGAGGTATTTCTTGAGCTTTTTTTTGTTGTTGGATTTTTATTTATTATTTTTTGTTGGTGGCTTTTTTTTTGGGGTGCTCTACTATCTCTGATAAAAACGAATCGAAGCCCCGCCAGCTGATTGCAGACAGCTTTGTTGGCTGCCTGGCTGGTCTACGTTTTATTTTCTTGTTTTGTTTCTCGTTTTATTATTGTTAAGAAATGCCTTTGGCACTTTCTGGTTCTGGTTGTGGTTCTGGCCTGGTCTTATCAAAACCTGACGCATAAGAAGATTGGGTTTCGCTTTCGGTTTCGGTTACATTTCTTCCTTGACTATTCTCTTCTTATTTTATATACATTTTGTTTTTTTTGTTTGCCCATCAAACTCAAAGTCGTAATTCACCCAGCAAACGAAAATCTTCGATAAGAAGGCGGTCTGTCCGCCGGAGGCTGCTGCTGCTGCTTCGCCCCCCCAACGACCTCATGCCCCAAGCTGGGCTACCGTCTTTGGTTCACACCAATTTAAAGATATTTTTCACACCTCCAGTTTATTTGTTTAGTGTGCACACACGAACAACACTCTGGCCGTTTAGCTGTTTGATTTATTTTATTCATTTGCCGCATGCCTCAATTGAAATCTCAAGTATTCCAGAAACCACAAAGAAATTCCAAAAAAAAATTTGCCAAAAAATAGATTTGCCAAATCAAAATATTCAAATGTATTCCAATAAACACAACACACACACAAGCAAAAACTAAACCAAATGTTAAACTAAAATTAGCAATTCGCTTGCTGGCCGGCTAGCTGGCCTTCAACTCGCCAAAATATCTAAAGTCAAATTTGGTTTAAGTATTATTACCGCATAGCCACCACCATCACAAAAAAAAAATGAACTAATCTTATCGTCAGCTAAATTTGGAGCTGTAGTAACACCGAAATTTCCCCGCTTCTGGCTGAACTTTCTTCGCTTCTTGCCATTTAATTTCCATTTGGCCAGAATTCAACTCGCTGTTTTCACAACACACGGCAATTACGGGAAGTTTGGGTTCAAAGCCTGAATTGGGAGTCGCAGTTGAAGACGCAATGCACTCGTTTCATTTGCACAACTTAAAAACTTTTAATTGAACTTGAGTACACATTTTTGCATAACTTTTCGTATTCTGTATTGCCAACATAGTCGTCCACGAAGTTGAGGACGCTTTTTTTAAAAAGAGGTTCCAGAGTTGGAGTAGTTTGGAAATACTCTAACGAAAGAAATCCTTTAACTTATAGGAAAAAAATTAAATATTTTGAAAAGATTAAAGGTAAAGAAAGTTATCTAAAATTTTATGTTATATCCCAAATATAATATAATATTTTTTATTTCAATCTATTGCTTAAGTATTCCCCTATTTCCTGTTAGTGTAGCTCTATACCCGATTTAGCCATGTTTCCCAATTCACTTCTTTTGGTTAAATTTGATTCAGGGCTAAAAACTTTAAATTGCTGCATTTAATAAAAGTTTTGGCGGCACAGCAGGCAGGTGACTGGTGGCTTTGGGGTTTGGGAAGAGAAAGAAACAGGATTTTGAATTGGAACTTTCTCCACCACCGCCACCCTACTGGCTATATCAGTTTGGTTCTTATTTCTTTTGTTTTTTGTAATTAGAACTTGCGGATGTTTTGTTTATTTCCGTTGACTTCCGCCTGCTTCCGATGCGGCGGCTGCGTTTGGCTGTTGCTTATTGTTTTATTGTAATTGTTATGAAAGGGAAGTGACTGGAATGCCGGCGAATGGGGGAGTAGGGGTTGTTATGTTATGGTTATGATGCGTAATTCGGTTCGCCTGCCATCCAGCCAGTCAGTCAGTCACTCAGTCAGTCAGTCGATGGCATGAACACTTGTGTCTTCTCATTTAAACAGCTGCTGGGGCAGAATTGTTGGGTGCCTGCCATAGTGGCAAAAAACAAACACGATGCGGCATCTGCATATGTATTATTTATGAATTTACATACGTATTTGTGGCCGGATCCGTATCCGTATCCGTATCTATTCCTTGAGCTCCCTGGGCTGTTTATCTAAGCTGTGAAATTATGCTGCACACTCGAAGCAATTTGGAAGCGCAGAGAAAGCAAAAATATGCTTACAAAAATAAATACAAACCTCAAAAGGGGGGCGAGATTGTATTGTATTTGGTTTTTACTCTTAATTTATTTCATTTCATGTGCTGCTGCAGATTGATTTCAATTCGCTCTGAATGTTTTTCTTTCATTTCTGTATAAACACACTGTAGTATAAACCATCCAGAAATGAGTTTTCCTTTTGTTTCCCGGCGTGTGAACGACTGTCGGTGGTTTCAGAGTTTCTATTGCCAATCTATTTGCTATTAATTTCATTTATAGAATTTACCGATTTGAGCGATTTTCGTGTTGTTATAGAATATTGGTTTTAATTCAAGCAACTAAGCGGATTCGTTTGGATTTTCGTATTCAGTTATCATTGAGTTGGCCAACAACGAAACCGAAACAACGAAACAAAAAAAGTATTCGAGTCCATTGATGTGGCTTTATCGGCAATACCGCATTTGCCACATTTTGTTGCGCCATTACAGTTCTGCGGTGGCCATTTAATGTATTTAAATCATTTTAAATTAAGCCGATAACACCCCTTCTGCCCCTGCTTTAGCCCCGGCCCCTGGCGAATATGCAAAATAAAAATGAATTTGTGTATTACATTATTTGATTTCCATTTGTTACCAAGCACCCGAGCCCACCCCCGCAGGAACAGGCACACAAGTGCCGAAATCAGCGGCGACAACCCCACTGCCACTCCCACAGACAATATGCAATCAGCAGTTAACATTTAGCACACGCAGAAACGTAACAAAACCCAAAATGGCACGTACACACACACACGTCGAAAAAAATGGCCAAAAAAATGAGGGAATAGGGCCAAAAAAAATACCAAAAAAGAAGCTGCCATTGGGAAATTCATGAATACAGATGCAGAGACACACACACACATGGACTTGCACCTAATAAGCCAAAAGTAGCAGGGCACACACGCACCCACTTCATTGAGTACACTGAGAGAAACTAGCTTGTAGCCATTAAGCTCAAACCATAAGCTTTACTCCCAAAAGGACCTTCAAAAAATTAAAACTTTAATAATAAAATTTTAAGAAAAATATCCCCATCTAGATACTTGTTCCTGATAGTGCACTATCCAAGTCTTAGACTGGCTAAAAAGAGAAGCACAGTTATTTTAGCCGAGCCAGCAGAAAAAAAAGAACGTGGCCAGAGCCAAAAGTAGGAAGTGGCAGATTGGGATATGGAGTCACACATAGATCGGGGGGGGAGTTTGAGATTTTCCGAGGGGAGGTGGGGTGGAAATCCGAAATACGTGCAATTGCTGAAAATATGGTCGACGTGCGGGGCAAGACAAACGTGCGGGCCAAGCATCCGTGGGCCTTAAATACTTGCCACCATGCCGCACGGACTCTCACCCCCTGGTTCACCCCCCACCCCGCCTTCCTATGGAAATCCAACTAAGCAGCTACCACGTTTGCTACTCCTATTACCCTCAATCATTTATCATCTGGGCTGCAATTAATCATCAAATGCGCGCTCTCTCGCTTTCGCACTCGCACTTGCCACCTCCCCTTGCCACATTTCTCCACTCCACCCCTCAGCAGTGGTAGTAGTATGTAGGTCCTTTTATAGTTTTTGTGGGCTGCCCTCTGGATTTATGCTTATAATGTGAAATGCCAGTGTATGTTTATCTGGGACTGAGTGTGAGTGTGCGTCGTCTGCCACAATGGATGCTCGTATTCGTATGTGCCGCACATAGCTCACAGCTCACATTTAACTATGCGACAGCTAGCAGTAACACCAGCAGCAGTAGCACTGAGAAAAAATAAGGGTAATAGTAAACTAAATAAAAGATAAGAAAACATAAAAAAATAAAATTGAATACAAAAAATGTGATTATAAATATTTAATTGATATTGATCTTATAGATATTTTCTTAGGAATTTCTCTCAGTGCCTCTGCATTATGGTTCGCTGCTCGATCTCGGTTCTTTCCTACTGGTTACGTGCAAGTTTATGATATGGCCAAGAGTCTCTGGCTGCCTTGCGGTTGCCCTGGCACATTGGCTTACTGCCATGCAGTGGTGCCACACGCAGAGTTAACCAGAAAAGTTGCTGCAACTTGAGGCC